TTACTTGTATTTAAAGAGAAAATAGATTGAATTTTAGGTGGACGATAAAGTATTTCTCAAGATATCACCGTGGAAAAAGGTCTTGTGGTTTGGACGAAAATGAAAATTGAGTTTGAGATTCATTGATCCATATAAAGTTGTGAAAAGAGTTGGCTCAGTGGCATATCAGTTGGCTTTACCTCTATAGATGGATAAGATTCATAATTAATATTTTTCATGTATCGATGTTTCAAAGATATTGTTCGGATCATTCGCATGTTACCACATCAGAGCAAATCGAGATTTAATCAAATTTGACTTATGAATAAGAAACAATGAAGATATTATAATATGGAATCAATGAACTAAGTAACAAGAAGATTCGACTAGTTAAAGTTCTTTGGTGAAACCATAAAGTCGAGAAAACTATATAGGAAAGAGAAGATATGAAAAGGTAGTTTCCTCATATTTCTGTATCAAGTACATAATGAAAATTTGAGGATGAATTTTCAAAAAGCAGGAGAATTTTAATATCCTAAATTTTGGACTAGTGACTAAAATGTAAATTTTGAAAGTTTAGTGGCCAAAGTAGAAACTTTGCAAAAGCTTGAGGAACAAAGTGTAGTTTTCAAAAGGTATATATTTTGGTCCCATAAATGCATAGTACATCCCCAAGAATAATGTTTTATGGGTTTCAGATTTTTGATCCGGAGCTTGTATTAAAAGTTATTAAGCGATAAAGTTCGGTAAAATATTTCGATAATCGGATCGAATCAGAAATTTAGGAAAATTTGAAGGATGATAGTATAAGATTAATAATATTATTTTTTAAATTTTAATTAGTAGAATTTAATATGGATCATTGGATTTAAGTTGCTTTTTCATGTTAAATCAGGACTGTTAGATTACAATGACAAGATTATAAATTTTGGAATATTGCAAGGGAAAATCAGGAAAATGAGAAATTATTGATGATGAAAGGATGATGATGTAATGAATGATTTCATAATAATGGCATGCTGGTAATTATCATGATTTAGTAATGGTAAAAAGGTTATTTAGCATTAAATGAAATTTAAATTTATTTATTTAGTTTTAAGACATGTGCTAAGAGATATTTTATAAGAATAATCAAGAAATTTGTTCTTCTTCAACCTCCCAAACCTTCACCTCCATAGTTAAGGTAGAGGAATTTTTATTTTTTTATTTTCAAGTTTATTTAGTTGATTTTTGGATTAAGAGTGAAATAGAGAATTAATCTACATTAAATTATTTATCATTTGGTATAAATATTTTATGGTTTTCTTGCTTGTATCATTGGTTTGGTTATTAGGGTGGATAAAGAGCAAGTTGAAATTCAATGATTTAAGGTTCGAATTTGATGTTAGTGAAGTTGTAGATTCATTTCCAAGTATTTGTGATGATTAAATCCAATTGAAAATACATTAATAAGATTTTGGCTAAAACTAGGGTTTGTAGGAAAGTTTGATTTTGGCTAAGACTAGGGTTTGTAGGAAAGTTTGATTTTGGATTGGATTTGATTGAATTCGCATGGAATTAATGTTAGAAGCTTGAATTCATGTTTGAATCAAAATGGAAACCATGTCCTAAAATCCAAGGTAGGTTTGGCCTAAGGGAAAAAATATGAGAAAAATTCTGGAAAAATTTCCTAAGGGCTAGAATTGATATAAGAATGATTCTACATTCTTTGAAATGTAATTTGGATCAATTTGGATGTTTGTGAAAGTGTAGGGAGCTATTTTCATATTTTGTGAAATTTAGGGATTAAAGTGAAAGTGTTCAATAATTATGTACTAGCTGGAGTTGAATGTTAGAATGATGATTTTGATGTTAAAAGGTTGATTTGGATCGTTTTAGAAGTTTGTTAAAGTTTGGGGACCAAAACGTGAAAAACATTAATGTTGGGCTTGAAATAAAAATTGGTATAATGTTAATGTATTAGTTTGAAAACATTGATAGAATGCTTGAAATAGGTTATTGGTATTGAATATAAAGTGAAATGGCTAAGACCATTTTGAATGAATTTGAAATATTGAGATGAATTTTCAGGAAATGCTTATTAGTGATTAAATGTGGAATGTTGAAAAGTATTGTGAATTATTGCTAAGGATGAATATTTCAAGGGCTTAAAAGGTTGTTAGAAAGAGTTAAAGTTAGCATTGATCAAGGAAAAAGGAATTAGTATTGAATATGCTTTAATTGCATTTTAAGCAATTTTTATGACACGCGCCAAACTATATTAGTAATGATACTAACATATACTTTGAAATGTATTTGTTTTGTGAATTATTCTCATGTAGATCGTGACGATCATTGAGATCAAAGTGAACCGAAAGAAAAGGAAAAAGGGACAAGAATAAGGTTTATCGACATTAAGGTTCGATAGTGAGGATTTAAGGTAAGTGCATTCTTGCTTATTATATATATGCTATGAGGAAGACTTGCGATAAGTCAACCTCAGATAATTTGAAAAGAAAGGAAAATTTTATATCGCATTTGATCTATTTTCATATTGTTTACAAAAGTAGTATTCAGATAACTTTGGGTATGAATTACCCAATACATTATTATATGATATTTATTAAAGGTAATTTGAATTGTTTCTGAAATGTGAAGTGGATGATTTTAGGTATGAACTACTCAATGTTTCAATATATGATACTTGTATATGTGAATTAGTATAAAAAATGTTAAAAAGCTCATTGTATGTGCATTGAGATTTGATGGTATAATTGGCATGTCGTGACGTGGAATGTTTATCGATTAATCTAATATGGGTACATTAGTGTACATTACAAAGAGGACATGATACATTTTATGACATATATGTGATATGTTGTATGTACGTATGATATGCTAGTGCAATGTGTCCTAATTACAGGTATAGTATTGTTGTGTTCTACAATACATGTATTGGTATTACTTGCCACTATATGTGCAAACCAATTATATGGCACCTATGGTGCAATTGATTTACAGGGCACTAAATGTTCAAGTTATTCACATGTAGTTATATTGCATATAGCACACTCGTATATATAACTCACATACCATGCATTCTCATTCATTATACATTGGGCAAGTGATTAAAATGGAATGGATATTTCATGTTGATCTATATTAAAGGTTGAATTATGGATTACTTTTCATGAAAATGACTTTAATAAGTCAAGTTTGTACGTTCATATATTTTTATATGATAATTGTCGTACTTTGTTCATTTACGATATAATTTTTATATTGAATGCCTTATTGTAGTTTATATATGTCTCGCTAAGTTTTTACTTAGCGTGTGATTGTTTCACACGTAGGCAAAGGAAAGGAACAAGTTGTCGCTAAGTTTTTACTTAGCGTGTGATTGTTTCACACGTAGGCAAAGGAAAGGAACAAGTTGTGGTGTAAGGAGCTTACGAGCACCACCTTTTGTGAAATTCAAACTATACCCAATATCAATAAGACATCTACTGATGTTTTGATATTATCTAGTTGGCATTTATATTATATTTTGTTTGGCTCTGATATGTCAGTTTTACATATGTATAATTCGATCTATAGTAATAATTTACTATTGTTTTTAATATGGGCGATATTTGGTATAATTAGTAGTTTAAATGAATAGTATTTTATTAAATTATTGTTTATATGCTAATTGATTAGATTTTAAATTAGGCATTTAATTATGATATAAAACAATATTGAATTGCCTATTTGCTGCCTGAAATCAGACTTGATTTTGATGTTAAAATATTATATTTATATTTTACGCTATTAATAAAATCTTAGTGAAAAAGGTTTAACTGATGATTTTAAAAGAAATAAAATTTACCGTTTTTTATTAGGAAATATTTTTAAGGTTAATGTGACATCTTTAACTCGTAATTAGGTACGTATACGGGTTAAGGGTGTTACATTGCCCAAGGACTCAAGGAGCAGCTCCAACAACGACTTAGAGGTTAGCATCGTCGATACAGAGAGGCCAAGGACCAGTGAGAGGTGGTAATACTGCGTCTGGGCAACAGAGTAGAAGGACAGCCAGATCAATGGCCGATGCAAAGTTGAGGTAGCCTCCAGTCAATATTCAATGAGAGCTCGAGATGAGTGTGATACGGAATACATAATATCATGTACCTTTATAGTGTTTTCCATTCTAGTTACCGCATTGATATATCTCAATTTCAAATGTCCATACATCTGCTCCGACTTAGTTCAAGAAATAGAAAACCCAATAGGAGACTTAGAGGTAGGCATTCGAGTGTCGAGCCCTCTTAGACATTCTAGTAGAGAAGATTCATCGATGATGTCCATTAGAGATTCAGGGTCAGACGTTCTTAGCAGACCTAATAGAATTTCCATTTTAGGAGTTCGACATGATCTTGGCTATGGATTGGTTATCCCAGCACGACGACAACTTTGACTATCTTCGACCACTGTTTATGCGCCATCCATCCATTGATTGACCACCGTTTTTGTTCCGATGACCTATTAACCAACCATCGCCTTTGCCTTCATCCTAAACCCCTAAATCTCTAACTCTAACTTTAATGGGTGGAGGATTTAACTAGAATTTTATGCCAACAATATCAAATACTGGAAGGGAGGGGGACGACTGTTGGAGGAAGAAAATTTAGGACAAAAGGGGAGGAAATTTGAATGGGAGGGAGAAGGATAGAGTGAAAGGAACGACGAGAAAGGGAGGAGAGGAGGTAAATAAAAATAAAAATGATTTTTAAATAATAATAATAATATTTTTATTTTAAAAAAAATAAAAATTTCAAAAAAAATATAAATGTGATAAATATCAAATAAAAATCTTTTGTAACGATTGTTACAACATAGACACCTAAAAGAATAACGAGGAAAACGATAAACATTTATTCTAAACAAACAAACAATATTAGGACTCTTTTGAAAATCGTACTCAGTTTTGTAACGGCAAATTACTCGGCGATTCGACTGAATTTGAAAGAAAAAAAAAAAGAAAATAAAGATCGGGAGCTGAGATGTCTCTAAGACCGAGCGCGAAGGAGGTTCGAAAGAACAGCTACAAGATGGCGGTTGATGCGGAGGGAGCACGGCGGAGGAGAGAAGACTCCATGGTTAAGATTCGAAAGAACAAGAGACAAGAAAGCCTTAGTATGAAACGCCGCGAAGTACTTCTTGCTCAAAAACAACCGCCGCGCCAGCAGTTGCTTTCTTCCACTGTCGATCCCGAGAAAACGGTATATTCAACTGATTCAATCAATTTGAAACGCTAAATTATCTTTTTTAATGGATTGATTGGTTGTTCCTTTGTTTCAGTTGGATAATCTTTTAGTGTTACTGGTGTTATGTTATGAGATTGAAATTTATCTTATTGGATTTAGTAACCCTCAATAAAGAATGGAATGGATTATTTACTATTGAATAAATCATGATCTTGATAATCAAATTGCAGTTAGAAAGTCTTCCGGCTATGGTTGCTGGCGTTTGGTCAGATGACAAGAACGCCCAGCTTGAGGCAACCAGTCAATTCCGAAATCTGCTATCAATAGGTTGACAATTTGTTTTGTTGTTGTTATTGATGATGTTTTCTTTTTTTTATCCCAGCTCATTTTTAATTTTACAAACTCTTAATTTGTCTGTAGAGAGCAATCCTCCAATCGACGAAGTTGTACAATCGGGTGTTGTTCCTCGCTTTGTTGAGTTTCTTGCTAGGGATGATTTCCTGCAGCTTCAGGTTTTTGATATTTTGATACTGAAGTTATTAGGATTTTGCTCAATCTCTTTGGTAATGTTTTGGTTTTTGCATGGCATCATTTAATTGTTTTTACGTAATCTTGTGGGTTGTAGTTTGAGGCAGCTTGGGTTCTTACGAATATCGCCTCGGAGACATCCGAAAATACCAGAATTGTAATTGATCATGGAGCTGTCCCTATATTTGTTAAACTTCTTGGATCCCCAAGCAATGATTTACGCGAACAGGTAAATATTGTAGTCTGCAGGTGACCTTATTTTTATTAATAGAGTTTAGTTGCATTCTCATTAAGGTCAACTTTTTCTTTTCGAAATTATAGGCTGTTTGGGCGTTAGGAAATATCGCCGGAGACTCACCTCAATGTCGTGATGTGGTCATTGGCCATGGTGCCTTGATGCCACTGTTGGCTCAATTCAATGAGCATACAGACCTCCCTGCGTTGCGAACTTCTACATGGGCTTTGTTAAACTTTTGCAAGGGCAAACCACTGCCGTCATTTGAGCAGGTTGGACTTACTCGACTCTTGTAATATGAATTTTTGTTTGAGTTCCGACCTTTTTCGCAGCTTTCTTTGGCTAATGCATGATGCTTTTGAAATTGAATAAGCAGACGAAGCTAGCTTTGCCAACCCTTGAGCGTCTTATCCATTTAAGTGATGAGGAAGTCCTTTCAAATGCATGTCGTGCCCTTTCATGTCTCTCGGATGGTATTAACGACAAAATCCAAGCTGTTATTGAAGCTGGTGTCTGCCCCCGGCTTGTTGAGCTTTTGCTGTAAGTACTATCCTTTCACATTTCAAATTGATTTTTGAATTGATGTATATGCTTTTGTTATTGTTTCTCGGTTTTCTTTTGAATATTTTCTCACTTATTTTCCCTTGTTTGTTAGTCATCCATCCCCAGCAGTCCTCATACCCGCTCTACGCACTATTGGAAATATTGCTACTGGGGATGATATGCAGACTCAGGTATGGAATATTTAATGACATATTCGCTACAGTTATTCTGATTTTTTTCCCTTGAAATGTTGTTAGCCAGCTTATCCTTGTTCGGGTTTGGCTGGTTAATTGCATTTGTATCTACATGTTGCACAACTTTATATAAGATATTCTTTCTGACTTGTGTATTAGTTCTTTGTTGCTTCAACCATGTTGGGACAGTGCTGTTCTTTCTATAACAATTATTTGGACAGACTGTCTAATATGTCATTGTAGTAGTCATTGGTGCTATACTATGTTTGGCTAGCTTGATATTTCTGTTAGAAGATTTGATGGCTGGGCATCTTTTTCAATGAAGTTTGACTATTGGGGTTTATTCGGAAAACTGGATAGCTTTCCATGGTTTCAGTAGACACTGTACATCACACAACTTTCAGCGTATTTTGTTCCAAGAAATATGATTAATTAATCTTCTCCATGGTTAATTGGCATATTGTAAGATAATGAGAAATATGCATTCATGTCGTTGTTTAGTTGCCTCTTGCTCCAGAACTCTTATGCTGTGGGTTATTTCCTCTCTCAGTGTATTATAAACCACAAAGCTCTTCCATGCCTTTTTAACCTGCTGACAAATAACTACGGAAAGATTATTAAGAGGGAAGCTTGTTGGACCATTTCAAACATCACTGCTGGAAATGTGAATCAGATACAGGTCAGCAAATTTTGTACTGCAAATCTGTAACTGATGGCATTGTTTTCAATTGTAGCCTTTCATCCAGTTCTAATAATTCCAGTTGGTGCATGAATTTTGAAAATCTTTTGCAGGCTGTAATTGATGCTGGCCTTATTGCTCCTCTAGTCCATCTACTTGAAAACACTGAGTTTGAGATCAGGAAAGAAGCTGGTTGGGCAATTTCTAATGCTACATGTAGTTCTAATCTTGAACAAATAAAGTATATTTTGTTTTCCATAATCAAGCTCTGGGTTCTTCCTGATACAATTCTCCATAGATAATTAATTTCTGGTTTATTTGCCAGGTTCCTGTTAGATGAAGGTTGCGTTATGTTGTGTGATCTTCTTCTATGTCCCGACCCAAGAACTGTTTTTATTTGTTTAGAAGCTCTTGAAAACATTCTGAAGGTTGGTGAAGCTAGGAAAAACATGGGTGACTCGATAGAAGTTAATCTATATGTCCAATTAATTGATGAAGCTGGGGGGTTGGAAAAGATTGAAATCCTCCAGAATCATAAAAACAATGAAATCTATGAGAAGGCAGTGGAGCTTCTTGAAACATATTGGGCGGAAGATGATGATGATGAGCCATTACCCCCTGGTGATGCTTCGCAATCTGGTTTCCAGTTTGGAGGCAATCAACTTCCTGGTCCATCCAACGGATTCAATTTCGGTCGAAGGTTTGTATTTGAATTTGACTGAATGCCTTTTCCGAGGAAGTTAATGTGGAATGTTAGGAAAACTGATAGAACCAATTTCATATATGTCTGAGTTGCTACATCTCTCAGTCTCTGCTAATAAAGTTGGCTTCCCATTCACCATAATTAGAAATATTGTGTAACCGGAAAATAGAATGTTAAATATTTGCACAAGCCAGTTTATGAAGTGAGTGTTAGCAGCCCTATGCTTTTATAATTTCATACCAAAACGCCTTCCCTCTGATCTGATTGTAATGAGCTTTCCTTGTAGGAATTGGTAAAAGAAAAAACAGATTCTTTTGGTGGCAAAATGGACACCTGGTTAAAGTAGACCGAAGCTCAGATGTCGGCATTTTGATGGCGTTTTTTTTTGGGGGGGAAATTCATGTACAGTTTTGAAGAAGTCATAGAAGAAAGACAGGGTGTATGTACAACAGTAAAAACGGTTGAAGAGTCTGGAAGCCATATGAATGTGTTTTTTTACATTTCATGTGGTAGTTATTTCTTTTTCAGCATCCGAACTTGTGACAAAGGATGTATTAGCATCCAAATACTCTTTTGGATGCTTTCCTTCGGAGTCTGCATCTCGTTGTCCCCAAACTATGCCTATCACAAACCATTGACCGGTGAGATAGTCGCGTTGCATCGGCATCATGAATTTAAGTCGGTGGTTTTTTATTTTTTCAGTCTTGTCTTGGATGTATTTAGGAGTTACTCGAAACTTTCAGAGTTTCATATCCTCCGATTAGTTACAGTTCCTTAACATGATCGCTCGTAAATTTACATAATCTACTAGTTAAATCTACTATCTAATAGACAGATCTAATTACATGTCAACCCATACCCTAAGTATGACATTAATACTACGCATGTATATAAATCACCATGCAGGCCGGAGAAGAGGAGGCTTAGGGTTTCTCTTGACTATTTTTTAACTCGTCTCTTTGTCCCTTCTACTGAATAACTATACGCAACTCTCAGTCTAAATCATAAAGTATGAACAGTAAAAAACCATCAAATCTATTCTCCCATCAACAACTCCTTATGTATCCAAGCTACACCCGTCTCTTAAGATTTGCAAACTAGAAAGGAAAGAGACTTGCCATAAGTGTATCTTTTTTCCGATTGAACGCAGTTTTCCCTGCGTGCTAGGGCAGTTCTGGGAAAGTTCACGCGGCCCCTAATCAGGTACTCACCTTTAAGTCTATATGCAAAGTACACGATGTGACGAACTTTGGTAACTTGCTGTCCGTACACTTAATAAAATGATCGAATTAGAACTTGGAAACGTGGTATGACAAACTTGCCCATATCATAGGCATTATGAATAGTTGGCGATGAGGGTAATTCTGTAAAATCATGATATCCATGAACAACCCTAAAGAGGGAACTGGAAGTTTGACTCGATTCTAGACTGAGACTGATTCACGTGAACAACAGAACCAGGTTGTACATGCTTGAATGGACATTTTGATTTGAACTTGAAGCACTATTTTTAGAATGTGTACTTTAAACCCTTATTAGGAAACCTGTTAGAGTCTTAAATATAAATTTAATCACTTCATGCTAGCCATCACTGTCTGCTTTGAATTAAGGAACTTCATACAAAAGAGAGATGAAAAGCCGATAATATTTTGCCGATGAAGACGACCATAAATCAGGTAGCTTGTCATACTGTTGATGGAGAACGGCTGCGAAATTCGATGAATGTGCTGCTAAGCTAAAGGGGGACTTACCTGATGCTTCCATTTTAACTCCTGGACTAACAATGCTTAGAGAATTGGAGAGATTGGCTCTAACTGCTCCTGATGAACTAAATGAGTTTCGTCATAAGCTTCTGGGGTATCGTTCGGGCGATTTTTGGGCACCAGTTGGAGGCATCTAGAAAGAATATACTGATATTCCTCCGGCGAACACTATACCCGTGGTCGGATTCTACGGTTCGTTTATGATAGAACAAGCTAGGGAGGAATTGTCAAGTTGGATAAGTTGAATATAACGGTAGCAGTACCTCTGCGACCATTATTATATGATCGCGATACCTATAATTCCCGTAATAATTTTCACTATATCCGCAATCGTGACAAATACGACCGCAACCGCTATTTGAAATTAACACAGATTTACAAAGCGTTGGAAGAGTCCATCAGACAGCTCTTTTGCCAAAAAGCAGTAAGTTTTCTCTTATTTTACGCTCATCAATTATAATGACGTGCAAAAGGGAATGAAAGCACACAAAACAATCATGGGTAAATCTTTCCCATATTAGCTCAATGACACAAACAAACGAGTGCTCCTTTTTGTGCTCATTAATGTGTCCTTGTACAAATGTATTAACGTACTTAGTTGACGTGGCTGACCGAGTTGAGACTTCATCTTATGTGCTAGTACGAAATGAAAATTCCAAGTACCAACAAATCTGTCTTTGGTGTCCATAAAAGCAGAAAAATATGGCCGCGTTTTGTCAGTTGTGATAGTTTATATTTTCATTTGGGTCTTTAGTTCTTTGAAATTTAACTATTTATAAGATGTAAATAAAATAGCTAGTAATGATTCTGGTTCTGTTTTCCTATTATTATTATCGTCACCTGATTTACAGCTGTCGCTCGTTTAAAATTTTTAATTTTTTATTATATTTTAATATTCATTTTTTATTGATAATCTATTTTCACTTCTTAAAATTTTATAAATTTACTCTATTCTAAAATTTTATAAATTTATACTCCTAACATAAAAATTTGCATTTATTACTGTTTGTAGGGCTGTAAATGAGAGGAGACAGATCTCGAGCTACTCGAGATTGACTCGATCAAGGCTCGATAAATATTCGGATCGAATGGACTCAACTCGAGCTCGAGCTCGACTCGAGTTCTTAACGAGCCGAAACGAGCTACTCGATATTCGACTCGAAAAGCTCGTGAGCAGCTCGAAAATATAATATAATAAAATTTATTTTTTTAGAAATAAATTATTAATAATATTAATATTTATGTATTGATTTTTTTATAAAAAAAATACAGTAAGATTTCTTGTATTTAAGGTTCATGTTCGAGTTTGAGTTTGAGGCTTCAATCGAGTTAAGTGTAAGATTTTTTTTTATTTCGAACCTTTTCGAGCTGCTCACGAGCTTCAGTTTAGGATTTTGAGTTCGAGTCGAGCTTGAAAATTTTAAGCTCGCGAGTTTTCGAGTCGAGTCGAGCTTTATTTCAAAGTTTTCGAGTCGAGTCGAGCTCAGCAATACTCGAGCTCGAGTCGGCTCGTTTACACCCCTAACTGTTTGCAACTGAATTTATTAAATTATTTCATAATTTTATTCGTATTACAAACGTTACAAGAATGATAAGATGTGGCTGCAAAGGTGGCTAAACCTGCAAATGTTACCGAGAAGCAAAAGATTGACAATTAAGGTTAGGGTTGGATCGATGAAGGCGAGTGGGGACGGTCTCTCTCCGGACGTAAATTTATCATATATTTTAAAATTTTTATGTATTTTGTTTTTATTAAAAATCGGTTTTCGTTTTTTCTAAAATTTTAAAAGTTTAAATTCATCCCCTAACATAATATCTTGCGTCCATTCCTGACTGAGGCTAAACGTGCATTGACAAAAGCTGCGAAGATGAATGTGGCGACCAAAGATTTAAATTGCATTTTTGATCGCATTGTGTTTATTATGATTGCGATGATAACAAGTGTTGTTGAGGGTATCGTGATTATGAAATAACAATTTCGGATGGAATCTACCGCTATATAACAACCGTTATTTTAATAATGAATTATTATTTAAATCTGTGATTACAAAATACAATAGAAGATGAATGATATTACCGGAAGGCTGATGCAAGGTCAACATAGATGGAGTTAGAAATGAGGAGGGATGTCTGATAATTGTTGGGAAATAAACGAGTACAAGTAATTTCCCTATAATCAGATTAGTGAGAATGCGAAATAAAAGCGGAAAAATAATACTCAAAATTGATAACGGAGTTCAACCAATTTTGCTTACGTCTCCGGACTGCTGCAGATCTTTTACTAAGAGAGAAAATTTACAGGTGTTTACAAAACACTCACTACTCACAAGAAAGCTCTCTAGTAATGGGAGAAAGAAATGATTTTTGGGATAGTTTTGAAGCTAAATAAGCTAGGGTATTTATAGTTGAAGATTAAAGACTTAATCTTGTAAATACCCTAAAGCCTAGGGATTAATTGTGATTATCCCATTATCATTTTTCAACAAACATCTACCAAACTTTGAAAAACTATTTTTCAAAGAAACATTTACCTAACTTTGAAAACCATTTTTTCAAAGTTGGTTGCCAAACTTGAAAACCATTTTAACAATACTTTCAACAATCTCCCACTTGAAGACTGATTTTAATCTGTCTTCACACCTCGATCGATGCAACAACCTTTCTAGTCTTGTTATTCTAGCAAGTCAACTGAAGCTGAACACAACTTCAGTTTATTCGTGGTCACCGTCTTTGTCAACATGTCTGCCGGATTTTGAGCTCCACTAATCTCTTCCAGTTTCAAAATCCCATCTTCCAGAAGAGACCGAATAAAATGATATCACAATTGTATGTGCTTCTTCCTAGAATGAAAAGACGGATTCTTTGCTAGATGGATAACACTTTAACTGTCGCAATACAAGACATTGTTTTCTTGTTTCTTGCCTAACTCTTCTAAGAAACTTTGGAGCCAAACCATCTCCTTGCTAGCTTTCGTAACAGCGACATATTCTGCTTCAGTTGTGGAGAGAGCAACTATCTTCTGTAATTGAGAAACCCAACTCACTACAGTTCCTCCTAGGGTATAGACATACCCTGTAGTTCTTCTTCTGATGTTAACATTTCCGGCTAAATCAGCATCTACATAGTCTGTCAATATCGTATCTCCACCTTTGAAACAAAGTGATTTATTTGTAGTACCCCGCAAATATCTGAGGATCCATTTGACAGCTTCCCAGTGTACCTTGCCTGGATTATTCATATACCTCCTAACAGCTCCCACTGCATGAGCAATATCTGGTCTAGTACAAACCATGGCATACATTAGACTTTCAATTGCTGAGACATACGACACCTTCACCATGTGTGCACGTTCTTTCTCCTTCTTTGGTGATTGTTCTTTGGAGAGTCTAAAATGAACACCTAAAGGTGTACTTACTGGTTTAGCATCTTGCATGTTGAACCTAGAGAGTACTTTGTTGATGTACTCGGCCTGTCATAACATCAAAGTCCTCGACTTTGTGTCTCTCTTAATCCTCATCCCAAGAATATGCCTCGCAGCGCCCAGATCCTTCAAAGCAAACTGCTTCGACAATTTTTGCTTCAAGTTTATAATCTCTTGCATGTCTAAGCCTGCAACGAGCATGTCATCAACGTACAATAATAAAATAATAAAGCTATTGTCGAACCTCTTGATGTAGCAACAATGATCTGCTTGGCATCTGGTAAAACCACTACTACTCATGAAGCTATCGAACTTCTTGTACCACTGTCTAGGAGCTTGTTTTAAACCATACAAACTCTTCTTCAACCTGCATACCAGATTTTTCTTGCTTGCCTCTATGAAGCCTTCTGGCTGCCTCATATAGATTTCTTTTGAGGCCAGGAATATGTCTCACTCCTTTCAGCATCCAGATGGTCTGGTTTGGCAACTTTAGTCGGATGTCTCCTTTTCCGACGATCTTCAAGGTTTCATCATCAGCTAGATGAACCTTCCCAAAATCACAACTGATATAGTTCTCCATGAATTCTTGGCATGGGGTGGAGTGGAAAGATGCCCCTGAATCCAAGATCCATGATTCAATCAGACTATTGATGCTTAGAATCATGGCATCACCTGTCTCCTCTGTCATGTTGGCAGATTCCTGTGCGCCGGTATCTTTCTTCGGTGCTCGACAATCTCTTTTAAAGTGACCCTTCTTGCAACAATTATAACAGGTATAATCTTTCTTTCCCGTTCTTGATTTTCCCCTTCTAGATTTGGATCTGCCACGATTAAAATTTCTCTCTGAAGTTCTCCCTCTAGACTCCGTTTGAAAGGCTGAGGAGGTTGATGCTTCACCCGATTCTCTCCGTCGAATTTCTTCGCTCAATACCAGATCCCGAACATCGTCGAATTTTAATTTACTATTTCCTGACGAGTTGCTAACTGCTGTAACAGTAGCATTCCAACTGTCTGGTAGAGATGATAAGAGAATTAAAGCTCGAACTTCATCATCGAATTCAATTTCCACGGAACTCAACTGGGTTGTGATTGTGTTGAGTTCATTTAAGTGTTGAGCCACTGATGCCCCTTCCGCCATCCGCAAATTGAATAATCGCCTCATCAAATGAACTTTGTTTGAGGGCGATGGCTTCTCATACATGCTGGAGAGAGCCGCCATAAGACCCGCCGTGGTCTTTTCCTTTGCTATGTTGAAAGCAACATTGCGTGATAACGTCAGTCGGATAACTCCGAGGGCTTGTCTGTCGAGGAGAGCCCAGTCTTCATTCTTCATGCACTCTGGTTGTTTTCTTGACAATTTACAATTTTCACCTTCTCTTCGTCTGCAGCCATCGCTCCCACTCGAATCTGGCTTATTTGGATCGTTTATGACAATTTTCGCGAACCGTCGTGTATTAGAACACCTCCGTTGACAAACTCGTATCGTCGACAAATTTTTTACTATTCACTATTCACGTGAATAGTAACCTCACGAAAATTGAAAAAATTCACAACCAAAAGCTCTGATACCAGTTGTTAGAAAATAAATGAGTATAAGTAATTTCTCTATAACCAGATTAGTGAGAATACGAAATAAAAGCGGAAAAATAATACCCGAAATTGATAACGGAGTTCAGCCAATTTTACTTACGTCTCCGGACTACTGCAGATCTTTTA